GGAAAGAGTTATGGCAGACAATAGTTGGAACCAAATGAGAACAGAATATCTCCATTATTTAACTGCCAAATAAGTGAATTGTTTTTAAACATTTCTTGTATGCGTTTGCTGCATGTTGTGCTGTCATGATAATAAAGAAAGAAATAGTCATTAAAATGAATGCTCCTGTTTTTAAACTGGTGGTTTAAGGAAAATTTACCTTTATTTCCACAGTTTGTTATTTTAAAGTATGCATGTGTTTGGGGTTTTTTCCTCATGCTCATTTCTTTTCACCAATGAAGGCATAGCAAATGAATCTAAAAAACTGTATGGAGCACAGTTCCACCCTGAAGTTAGCCTCACAGTGAATGGAAAAATGATCCTGAAGAATTTTCTATATGATATTGCGGGATGCAGTGGTACCTTTACAGTGGAAAACAGAGAACTTCAGTGCATTCAAGATATCAAAGAGAAAGTGGGCTCATCAAAAGTCCTGGTAAGTAGATTGAATTGAAGCTGAAAGATTACTTGCAAAAGGCTGGCAGGAACACTGACACAGTTCCTCAGGTTAATTTTAAAAATGTAGAATTGTCATGATTTGGGTAATACATTAAACAGGTTTTAGAAAGTTTGCACAATTGGGTCAATATGTTGTTTGACTTCTTGTTTTCTTCCAAATCATTGACTGTAAGTCAATAGCTGGTTCTGATCCTCGTAGTTGCATTTGAATTATTTGTTAACACTTTCTATGGAGACAGATGACCACTTTTTTTAATTTTTAATTTTTTTTTTCTCATCCTTAGGTTTTACTCAGTGGTGGTGTGGACTCAACAGTGTGTACTGCTCTCCTGAACCGAGCTTTAAACCGAGATCAGGTCATAGCTGTACACATAGACAATGGATTTATGCGCAAAAGAGAGAGTCAGTCTGTGGAAGAGGCACTCAAAAAACTTGGGATTCAAGTTAAAGGTACCATAATTTGGTTAAATATGTTTGATACCACTAATGATGTGGCCAGTCTCCTAAAATGTATGTTTAGTGTTTTGTTTCATTGATTTGAATTGACCTTGGCAGTTCTCAGACTTTACAAACCAAAGTGTGGTTGCTAATTTGGAACAACCTGGGCCTAGTCACAAAATTTCAAACCTAAAATATTAAGCCTTATTTTTTTTGGATTGGAGCGTGCAATGCCCTGACCCATCTCTTCAGTTGTGGAGATCCGATATCCGCTGTTGGGGCACAGTGAAGCAGCAGATACGTGCCTCAGTCACTGGTGCTCAGTCACTTTTCTGCTGGTGGATGAGTAATCCTTTTCAGCTGCTGCAAAACTCATTTGATGGCAGTTTTCTTCAGCAGCTTGGTTAGCAGTCCTCCACTGGGGCTTTATTTCTTGTCCTGGATCTCTTTCCTCTTAAACTGTGAGCTCCTTTGGGTGATTGAATGCTAGTATAGTCAAAATTACTTCTCCAAGGCCATTTTTTTCACTCTCCTGGCTTCTAAATGGGTGCATTTTTAGTTGGTTTTGGAGTAGCTTGTTGAGAAGGAATACACTGTGAGAGTGGAAGGTACCTGATGAAAAGATTTAGGGTTTTTTGGTACCTGAAGTAAAATTATGTATGAGTTGTGCAATGAGAGCTGCCCTGTACTGCCTGGCTGATTTGTTTAATGAGTAATAGCTGCCTGTTCCTGGGGCTGCACCTGAGTACTGTTCTCAAGTGATTCTCTAGTGACTTGGTGAAGAAGCATGATGCTAGGTGAGCAATGCTTTCCTCTAGCCTGGCAGTGTGAAACAGATTGCACGTTAGCATCTTGCAGATTTTGTTGCATCAGGATATTGCAGCCCAGTCTAAGCTTTGTTTTATACACATCTTTTTGATTATTTTTTTTACCTTTTTTTTAGTGGAAAATCTGTATCTTATTCTTGCACTCTGTAGACCAATAAACCTGGATTCTGGCAGGCTGCCAGAGGAGCAAATTGAGGGAATCCCTTTGCTGCAAATGCTCCTTCTGTAGGTCACGGAGTTCAGTGCTGGTAAAAGATGCCAAAGAACCTCCTAGCTGATCTCTGCATCGAGAGACTCTTTAAATTAAGAGGTATAAAGTACCATGAGTAAATAGTGCATCATTTAATTTTGGTTGCAGAAAGGCCTTGGGGAAGTACAGTCCTATAAACTATTTAAATAAAGCAATAAATTATAACCTAAGAGGGGAAGCAAGAACTAAACTTTCATCCGGTTGCCTAGCCTCTTAATATGAAAAAAAATTGCCCTCTAGAGTAGGTTAGTAAGAGAAATAAAATGCTTTTGTTACAAGTAATTCCTGAGGTATTGAACAGCCCTGTTTAATGCAGTTAACAGTCAAAGGACTGGAATGACTTTTATTTTCTTTTTTTAAAGCAATAGAGTGAAACTTATTTTTTTTGCAACCTTGCATAAAAATCTTTACTGGCTTTGCCAAAAAATTCCTGTAATTTCGTGCAGTGGTGAATGCAGCTCATTCATTCTATAATGGTACAACAACTCTGCCCATCTCGGATGAGGATAGAACTCCACGTAAAAGAATTAGCAAGACCTTAAATATGACCACAAGTCCTGAAGAAAAAAGAAAAATTATCGGTGACACCTTTGTTAAGGTAACATTTATAATTATTTGTTGGTTGGTTGTAGTGGGTTTTGGTGTTGTGGTTTGTTGTTGTGTTGGTTTTGGGTTGTTTTTTTTTTTTTTATTTTTCTTGATTTTTTTTTTTTTAATTATTATTAATTATATGATTTCTGGATACATCTCACTGTACTAGTTCCACCATCGTGTTTAGATATAAGATATTGGTTGGCCATTCATTTTTGTTGCATAAACTTCCATTTAATGTTTTTTTTCACCCAATTGATGGGTGATGTGAATCGGGACGTGCTGCTCTTGCTTTGCTGAAGATGAGCCACTTTCCATCTGTCAGCAATTGGTGTTGGCGATGCAGGGAGAACATCCCATGGAACACACAGTGATGTTCCTGCAGTCTGAAGACATTTTTTCCATTTTCTGTTCAACAAAATATGGGATTATGGGACTATTTCAGCAGTGAGCTGGTATCATAATTAATCTTGCTGTTTGTTTGTGCTTTTGCAGCTCAGTAGCATTTGTTGGGCAATTCATTATCTTCCTTTAGACCTTTGAGAACCAAAAAGTAGATGAGAACACTTTCCTTTTTTCTCTGCATCTTTCAGATTGCCAATGAAGTTATCGGGGAAATGAATCTGAAACCTGAAGAGGTTTTTCTTGCTCAGGGCACACTCAGACCTGATCTCATTGAAAGTGCTTCCCTTGTTGCGAGTGGCAAAGCTGAAGTCATCAAAACTCATCACAATGACACAGAGCTGATTCGAAAGTTAAGAGAAGAGGTAAATGAAAATGAGGGTACCGGTGTCTCCTTCTGATTCTCACAGATGTGAAGTTCAGTATCAGAAATGAGCAACTTCTGTGTTTTGCTGGCTTGACCTACGGCTCTATCTACACTGACTAAGCCATTGATAATTCTGCCATAAACTTAAATTTCCTTGTCTTAACCTCTGTCCTGCAGCTGTTTTCACAAAGCCCACATTCACATGTACTTTTCTTTCCAGTGTTTACACAAGTGTTGGCAGCCAGTGCTGTGAAAAGCAGGCCAATTTGACTGCCACAACCTAAACATTTGAGACTTTTTGTTTGACTTTGTATGCTGGAGTGTAAATTTCTTTTTCTTTTTAAGGGTAAAGTAATAGAACCACTGAAAGACTTCCACAAAGATGAAGTGCGAGTGCTAGGAAGAGAACTTGGTCTTCCTGAAGAGCTGGTTTCGAGGCATCCCTTCCCAGGTATGAGAGTTGGTCTGTGTTACTTAGTGAGGGGCTACAGATCACATCAGTATTGTTTAGAACATACTTAGCCTGTAAATTTGTGTTGGAGGCTAAAATTTGCCTCTAAACAGGAAAAAATAAATGGATTTATTAGTTTTTACTTTACCGTCTTTTTTCAGGAGATCATTTGAGAGCATCTTTATTATGTATAGTGATGAAAGGAAAAGTTTTATAATTGAGTTTACTTTTAGCTGTATTTGTTTCTTTTCAATAGTATAAGCCAAAGCAAGAATTGTAAGTGAAGTGGAGCTGAATGTTGCCTGAGCTGTCAAATGTATCTTACTTGAAATAATTGCTGCTATCTGCCTGCTTTCTAAGGGACATTTGCTGTTTTGAAAATGGTGGCGTAGAAAATAACAACAGTTCACCAGAAAACATTGAAGTATGTGATATAGGTTGGCCATGAGGAAAAGGTTCTTGAGGCAGAGGGTGGTGGAGCCCTGGAACAGGCTCCCCAGGGAGGTGCTCATGGCACCAAGCCTGACAAGATTCCAGCAGCATTTGGCCAAGGCCCTCAGGGACATGGTGTGAATGTTGGGATTGTCCTGTGCAGGGACAGGAGTTGGACTCCATCATCCTTGTGGGGCCTTTCCAGCTCACAGCAGTCTCTAATAGTTAGAGCAAAGCCTGCATCCTTTTAAGGGGGATGTGTTTTTCTGTTGGTATGTGTTAAAGTTGTCCTGCAGGGTGTGTAGCAGCCCCTGGCAGAGCGCGTAGGCTGCTGTGCTAACACCAGCATCACATCAAATGCAAGAAGCTGGCTTCAGACATTTCCAGCAAATTACATGTGTTTTTGTGTTAAGTAGCTGAAAGGTCAAGTAGCTGTCAGGGGGTCTTTAAAAACACCAGAGACTCAGCTGGGTGGTGTAACCAGCTCTTTCATCCCTGTTGCTTAGCAAAGGGAAGGAGGAGGTTCCTCTTTGCTTTGGCTTGCCACCCACCACACTTCATTGCCACCAGCTGCTGCTTTAACAACCAGGCAGTTGAAGGTGTAGGTAAATAATGCTTAGATGTACTGAACAGAAATACTGTTCCAGAATAAACTGCGTGTGGTTTGGGTTTTTTTTGTCTTGTAGGGTGTTAAGATGATTGAAGTATAGGTGCAATGGCAAAGCATACTGTACTCGACGACTGATCTGCTGTACCAGATGCTGTCACATTTTTAGTCAGCTTTCCTGTTATTTTAAGATAATGATTTTTTCAACTTTACATTCCAGGTCCTGGTCTAGCAATCCGAGTGATATGTGCTGAAGAGCCTTACGTGTGCAAAGACTTTCCTGAAACAAACAACATCTTGAAAATAGTTGCAGATTTTTCTGCAAGCGTTAAGAAGGTAACAAAATTGCTAAATGCTAACGTGCATAAAAGTTGCATGATTGTTCTGTAGTGGCCTGCAATGAGGTTTAAGCTGCTAAAAGTTGAAAACTACTTGTGTGTGCTCTTTAAGGAATGATGCATTCCAGTACAACTCACGTGAAGCTGTTAAGTATAGTGCAGTAGAGTTTTAGCACCACGACTGGTGCAAGTGTTGAACAATTTCTAGAAAATGGAAGTTTATATACCTTTCAAATAGCAAATAAATTTTATTTTAGTTAAACTTTGTGCAGTTGAAATTTCTGGAGATACTTCAAATCACATAGTATCAGAAAAAAGATTTTCCCTCCTTGCAATAGTTGTAACTTTCTAGATTTGCATGCCCTAACAATCACTGAATGTGCAGGAACTAGTGCTCACCAGATGTCCTGAACAGCAACCTGAAGTTTTTAATTGGTGATGTTGAAGTTCTCAATATCTTTAACTGTTATGACCCTTGTGATTTCTGTAAGCTCACTGAACTAAACTGCAGGGGGGTGAAAAATTGTTAGCAGAGGCATGCTCTAAGGCATAAGTTCAAAACAACTTCCAAAACTTTTTTGATAAATACTGAAAGGTGAGTATTTACATCTGCTTTTCCTTTAAAACATATTCAGTTGTACGGTGTAACAGGATCCTGCTTTGCTCTGTGTCTGAAATAAATAATAAAAGTGAAAAGTATAGCTTTGTGAAAGAGAGAATGAGCACAGGAAAAGAGCTTCACCTGTGGCCTTGGAGAGCTTCAGCTTAAAATGCAAACAGTCTAACCCAATAAAACTGCTTTTGCTAAAATTTAGTTGTTAAATGAAAAGTATTTTTTAAATAGTTCCAAGGGGCTAATGTGGACTAAACTTAAGCAAACAGCTTCGTAAATAAGAATTTTATTTGCATTGTGTAAGTTCTCTTTGAGTGCTTGGGAGCTTCATTTAATTAAAATTTATTTTTCTGCACCGTTGCACAGCCACATACTTTGCTGCAAAGGGTCAAAGCGTGTACAACTGAAGAAGACCAGGAGAAGCTGATGCAGATTACAAGCCTACATTCACTGAATGCCTTCTTGTTACCAATCAAAACTGTGGGAGTGCAGGTAAACGGATTCATTCCAGGGATGTTCTGAGAGCTGCTTCCTGGCAGTGTGGCAGGCTGCAGTAAAGCGTGATAATTGCTGCTTTAAGATGGAAAATAAAGGGCTTGACTCGAGAATATAAACTTCAAGTGACTGTGATACCTGTTATTGTCATTTGTCAGCACTGGTGTAGTGCAAAGGTGTCAAGATACCTGAATAGACACTTGAGTAAATGCCAGGTGTTGTATTTGAGGATATCATTGAGGTTGAATAACGCTGGTCACTTACAGGCAGCTTCTTCATGACACTCATAATCTTGTAGCCCTCTGCTGTAATCCTATTGCCCCCTTTAAGGCTCAGGAGTCCTGCACTAAGCTGGTAAAAAAACCCGTATTTCCTACATTTGAACATGCTTGTTGTCCTTTCCTGTCCTTTTGTGAATTGTGCTATATCCTTATCCTTGAGAGGAGAGGAACCAGAGCAGCGCAGGCGGCTCAGGACACAGCAGCATTGGAATCTGCACAGTGGCATGGCGTTTTCTTTCCTTTCTCTTCTTTGCTAATGCCATGTGCATTTCTGTGGGCTGTCCTTTGGTGACAGGAATGCAAACCAAACATAAATGCTGAGCTGGCACTCTCGTGGAATTACATGTAATAACTTGGGAGATTTCTTTACTGAGTGCCCATATCTGTGTAGTACCTTTCTTTGCACTGGCAGTGTTGAGTTACATCTCTTACTCTGTTATTATCAGCAGCTTAATCTTGTGTGTCGCTTCTGTAGCTCTTTGCAGTCAGTTTTGGTTCCTGTTTTAAGCAGCAGTGTCACCAGCAGATTTCTGTGCTTTGTCACAGGCCTTCCCCGGATAGTGTCATGAAAATACCAGTACACAACCCGTCCCTGTGCTCTGCTCACTTTATGTGAGTCTTTCCGTTCTGAATCTTTCCTTTTATACACTCTCGTTAGCTCACGGCAGGTCTGTCCTCTTACTCCATGTTTTCTCATTCACTTGGTTTCTCTCAGTGTACTGATTTCATCAGCTTCATGTCTGCTAAATGTTAGCACAAAATCCCGTCCTGTAACCTAGAGGATAAATGAGAAAGTGTTGTGAACGACTTTGGCAGCAAAGTTCACATTCAATTATCATTATTTTTTTAATTTATAGGGTGACTGTCGTTCATATAGCTATGTTTGTGGGATCTCTAGTAAAGATGCTCCACACTGGGAGTCTCTTATGTTTCTTGCCAGGCTCATACCACGCATGTGCCACAACATAAACAGGTAAGTCCTTTGAATTAACTTTATTTCTAATGATCTACTTAATATATGGAAGTTTAGCATGCACAGGCATTGTCCTGTTTAATCTGTGGTATACTTTTTTTTATATGTTGGACAGATGTATCATACAGAGGTTAAAAATACACAATAAATCGAAACATAGATTTATTTCTGGAATTACTAGCTTGAAAAAGAAATTGGTAACCTGTCTCCTCGTTTTTTAAGCACTTGCTTAGACAACATTCAGTGTAACCTATGGAAAATCTCTTTTGAAAGATTTCAGGCCTGTTGATAAGTTGTGATGTCATGAAGTACTACTTTGCTTTGTGTCAAGAAGGAGATTTATGTGGGACTATGAGTTCTAATGGCACATAGGAAAGCTCCAAAGCTGGGCAGTTTAATCTTAATTGAGCTCCCTTGAGAAATGCATTTTCTAGCTACTTGATTCCATAACTTTTCTAGCAGCTGAAGTTGCTTGGATATTAAATCAGTTCTGGAGAATGCACATCCTCCTTGTCTGGCTGTAAACTTTCTGGTGAAACTGCTTATTATTGTTACAGCACAACTTAATTTTGTCATGTCAGTGACGGCTGCTGAAGGCCTTGTGTAGATTTATAAATAGCAGTGTTAGTGCCCTGTGATGAGAACACAGCTATTCATTAACAATAAGGTTTGCTATTTAATGGTATTTTCTGATGCTCTCCTATTAGGAGAGAAGATAGAAATTGTAAGCACTTACTAAGTAGCTTTCTTAGAATAATCTTAAATTTTACAGGCATCAAATTATTTCTGTTTTTGTTTTTGTTTTTTTTTTCTTAAAGAATTATTCTCTTGATTAAATAATATTTAGGGTATTGCCAGTCTCTAGCAAACTAAAATTGCTACGTTTGACTTCCAAAGTTAGTGTGCATGTCATGTTTATGGAATACATGCACGAAGTTATATTAAGCTCTAGTTAGTAGCTAAGAAAAACCTCAAATACTCTGTTTTTTTCCCTGGTTTTATTTTCTCACTGCAAGACTAAAGATGCAGTCTTTAGGCAATCTGTTCTGCGTACACAAAATATATTTTTCTGCCATCCTGTTTGTTTTCCAGAGTTGTGTACGTGTTTGGTCCACCAGTCAAAGAACCTCCTACAGATGTCACCCCTACTTTCCTGACCACAGGAGTCCTCAGCACTTTACGTCAAGCTGATTTTGAGGCTCACAATATTCTCAGGGAGTCTGGTAGGTACTTTGTGTCACCCCACAGATTAGGCTCTTGGTTCAAGATCCCTGCAAACCTGACTGGGGATAGTTAGAGTGTCAAAATCTACAAGCTTCATGAATATCTCCAAAGAGATGATGAATTAATGGGATGACAGGCGAGAGCATTTTCTGAACATTGTGGAAGCTGATAGCTAGAGGAGGGGAATTGCTGGCCTTTCTGCTAGCAGAATTAATTTTAGGGGATTTTTGGGGACTGAGGCTTGCCTCTAACACACCATGAAGCTCAGACACGTGGTGCTTCACTGCAGTGCAAACTTCTGCAAAAAGTAGTTAGCCAGCTGAGAGTCAACCAAATTGCTTCTCTTTGATGATCTCAGTCATCAGTATTTACCTGAAGTAAATAAACTGTGTAAAGAAACTTGACATAGTTTCTAAATCATGTGGGTTTTTTAAATCATGTGTGGTTTTTTGTGGAAAGAAGGGAGCCCAAATACTGAGTTTCTGATGGTGATGATGCTCACTACCTGTGGTGGTTTCATGTTTGTTAACTTAAAGTAAAAGCTATTTGTAAACCAAACCACTTCAGGGTAGCAGACGGTAATGTTTCCAACCCTTAACATCCAGGGAGCATTCAATATGATATTCAGTGTGATCCACAGGGAACATAGTAGGTCTGAGGTTCAGTTGTGCTCTTTTATTTGTTTGTTGGGTTTTTTTCCCCACTCTATTTACATTTGAAGATGCAAAATGTGTGGGAAGCAGTTCATCAGACTTGCCTATATTTTATATAAATCAAGTTACAAAGGATATCTCTTTTTAAAAATACATATTGTGCTTGCAAGGCTGTCTTACCATAATTTGTACAAAAATAGCCTCAAAAGGCTGAGGATGACACTGTCAATTGTGTTGGTAAAACTGTAGATCTGTCTCGCTAACTTTGGGTGACACTTGGCTCTGTGTGAATGAATTGCTCCCAAAAATAAGACTTGAGTTATCATTTAGTGAAAAAAGACTCCTTGTACCTTAAATATGTCAAAGACAGAGATACTTGTGAATGGCTCTTTATTGGGCTTGATGTGGGGATAGAGAAAACCCCGTGGTTATGTTAGGTGGGAAGGGGAGTAGATCTTAAATTGCTTTCACAGTGAGTTACGGGGATGAGGGAGATGATCTGGTTTTGATCTGTGTGCCTGCAAGTGCTGACGATGATTCCAGGTGGCAATTTGAGTAGTTTTAGTGTCTGCACTGCTGAGTGTGATCTTCTGGGGTGTGGTAGTGAAAAGATCCCAGAAGATGTAAATTTAGCTCCTAGTGTAGAGTTTGAAGTACATGTGGGAAAATCAGCAACGCTTCTATCACGCTTATGTCTTTAAATCAAATTAATATGCTTTGTACAACTATTTTCTCAAGGTTATGCTGGAAAAATTAGCCAGATGCCAATAATACTGACACCGCTGCATTTTGATCGGGACCCCCTCCAGAAACAACCTTCCTGTCAGAGATCTGTGGTTATTCGAACGTTTATTACAAGTGATTTTATGACTGGTATTGCAGCAACTCCTGGTAATGAGGTTCCAGAAGAGGTAATGTGGGTTTTCAACTTTCTTTTCAACATGAGCTGGTGTTGTAGATGACTCTTTTTTTTTTTTTTTTTTTGTTTTCTTCCCTCTCTCATTTGCTTGCCTTGACTTTGATTTTTATTACAATTTTTTTTCTCTTTCATAGCATTCATTAGGAAGAATATGGTGGTGTTTTGGGGGAAAAACTAACAAAACCTGAACCTGGCAGATGGATATGACAAACTTAAAGGCTTTCCAAGAGAGTTGAGCCAAAATACCATCAATTAGAAAAGAAAGAATATCTCAACTATTTTGAAATTAATTTTTTGCATTAGTAATTGGAAATGTCCTGACTTACAGAACTGCCCTTGATCTCCACTTCTGATTTTACTGGAACCTGCTGTTTAACATCTCAAAGTGTGTGGTTTTTTGTTTAGGTCACTACAAGGATTCAGGAGTCAAATTTGGGTATATTTTTCTGGGAAGCTTTATCCATGTCCAGTTTCAAGTACTTTTTCTCTCTGGGAATGCAGTGTAGATGAAGAACAACTGACTTCTTTTTTTTAAACACACTTTAAAAGCATATAGGCATTGTTTAGTAATTGTAAGTCTTAACATCTACTTTAAGGCAGCCTATCCATTTAAAAAGAAATTATTCAAGGTTTACCACGTAAACTATTCCTTATATAAAATGAGGTTTCATGTAACCTTGAAGTTTGTGTTATTAAAAAAAAACAACCCCACCACAAAAAAACCCCCCAAACCACCACAAAAAAAACAACCAAACACCACAAAAACCACAACCAAACAAAAAACCCCCCACATTCTTAAAAATGTAAAGTGATCACTTTAAGACTAGGTAATAATATGGTAACAAAGTAGTAGAGGTTGTGGAAAATACCTGTCTTTATGGGGAAAATAATCATATTTGATTAAAAATTTTCTGGTTTTCCATGGAGAGCAGTGCATTGTTTGATTTATGCGTGCACTGTAGGGCAGCAGGTCATGTAAGTGGCATTGGAAACTCTTTCCTTTGGATGCTTCTTTCTGTGGGTTTGTTGTTTTGGGGTTTTTTTTGAGGGGGTTGTTGGTTTTTTTTATTGTTTTGTTGGTTTTTTTTAACCTTTAGAGCTCCATTTTTTGTTTTGAAAGGGGTTTCACTCAGACTTGTTGCTTTGTGTTTGGTGGTCCTTCAGCTGGGGTTGATGGTCCTGGAAAAGTCTGACAGTGGTTGATAATAACACATAACAGCCTATGTTCCTGCTGCAATTCTTTTTTTGAACTTCCAAGGAACAGTTTTGGAGCTGAAGAGCTGCTGCTGTGAGGGAAGCACGTTGCAATCGGCACCCGGGTTTATTGTCAGTGCCAAAAATCAGCAAGTTCCAAATGTGACTGCAGATATCATGAAGCAAGAGGTTTTCTTTAAGTTGATTTCATTTCTTAATTGGTGGTAAAATGCTAATAGCTGTAGGCTCGCTCTCTCCTGTGGGTACCAGAATTGGTGTGAACAGTTTGGTTCTCATGAGGTCTGGTTTACAGGCTTTCTTCTCATTTTTTTTAATTATTTTTTTTTTTTTTTCCTCCACAATAGGTTGTGTTAAAAATGGTGTCGGAGATTAAGAAGATTCCTGGCATTTCTCGGGTGATGTATGACTTGACATCAAAGCCACCAGGAACTACGGAGTGGGAGTAATTAACTTTTTTTCTATTAAAGTACTGTGTGCTGTCTAAATCATATCAGAAACCATTCCCAGTGTTGACATGCAGTACTGTGAAAGAGTGACTGGAGCTGCTACATCGCATCAGATTCCTCTCCTGGAGCATAAACCTGCAGTTAAGAGCTGTGCTGGGAATAATAACGAAGTGGGGCTGAGGATTTGTACGGGTAAATAATCATGGCAGCATCACCGGTGCGCAGACAGATTCCTATTGCTTTTGCCTTTGTCTTACCAATCCTCCCTGTTTTCATGTGTTTTATTGTTTAACTGTCATTTCAACGTCTCTTGGGTTTTGTACACGGTGTAAAAAAAGAAAAGACAGTTTATTTACTTCTACCAGAAGCATTGTTACAGCCTGAAAAATGTAAAATGAATTCTTTGTGACCAACTGCTTTTGAACGGATTTCTTATAAATAAATATTTTGCCAAATGGAGTAGTGGGTACCGGTGAGTTGTGGAATTACTGTGTATCTGTTGTAAACTGTGCAGCTTGTTCTATCATTGTTTGACATATTAGCCCATGGCAATAACGTTGAGCTCCAAGAGAGAAGTGCTAAAATACGATGAGATGACCTCTGTCTGTGCTCTCTCCCTCTTGCATCGCTCAGGGGGTGTGTGTGTGTTGGTGAGACGTGTATACGCCGGATAATTTGGAGTGTACACTTCCTGCCTGTGTGCATATGTCAGGTTCTGGGCAGTGAAGTATCTCAGTTTCCTTCTGGGGACTCTGACAGAAGCGTGAAACTGGGAGTGGAGTTTGGAAAGCTGTTGCACCAGAGGGAACTGGATCTGTGAATCCTGCTCCTGTCCTGCGACGCTCGCGCGGGTCCCTCGGCAGCCCGCTGCTGACACGCTTTCCTTACACTTGATGGCAGTTTATTTTGCATTTGCTTTTACAAGAGCTTTTCTTTTTTTAATGTATGTATTGTACTTAGCTTGATCTTTAAGATCATTATAGCTGTTAGTGTGCAGTCATGGTATCAGAGGTGACCTACCCAGTCCATATAGATTCCTTCATGTCATTTGTGTTCTGCTGTGTATGTAGTTAAGTAAGCAAGAAAGTGAGAGATGGTTACTCTGGACACCTGTGCTTTTTTGATCTATGGAGGCAAAGTTATTTCCATCCACCTGAGAATTTTGAGTGTGTCCCATGATTACTGTCTGTGGCAGTAACAGTTAAATCTGACCTTGGGTCCCTCCACCCACTGAACTGTAACAACATATCCAGACTCATCCCTTTTCTCATTTCTTTTCTTTTTTTTAATTTAAGCAGTTGCATTCATTCCATTCAGCTGCAAAATTACCATAGTATTATGGGGGTGAAATACTTATTTTAAACTGTTCAGTAACGTGGAATATTTCCTGGCTGTAGCTTACTTATATTTCCATTTATATAGATAGTGAACTGGAATAATGGTTGGAAGTGTTTGTTCTACGTTCTTTTGATTGCACACATTTTCCTGTTGTTCTTACATTTCCTGCCTACACATTATGGAAATTTAGTTTAATTTCTGCTTATAAGAAATGGCTAACTGTAAATTTATTCTTTGGCCTGTGTCATCGAGTGGTGGTTTGTTGCTGGGGGAAGGAGATGGTGTGTGACAGCCCCTCTGCTCTCTGGAACCCGGTGGGGACGCGGGCGAGCAGCAGAGCAGTGCCCAGAAAACAGCCTCCCCCTCCCTCACAGCCCTGCTCCCAGCAGGTTTGTAGCCTGGGAACATGGATTTTAATTGGTATCTCAGTTGCCTCCTGTATAAAATGGGGGTAGTAATTCTCACTCACATCCATCATAACCTCTTTGAGCCCTTTGGATGAGTTTTTTGTGATGCAAGTGAAGTGTTATCAATAGGAATGTTCTTTTACTGCTGTGATCTCTAAGAGCTGTCGGTCAAAACCGCTGTGAGCCGGTGTTTGCTGTGGCAGGATCTGTGGCAGCACGGGTTCTGTTGGAAACAAATTTCCTTTGTAGCTTATCTCAAAAGAAAGCTCCCTGATGGAATGATGGCCTTGGAGAACATTTCAGCTTTTGGTCAGAAGAAGCTGAGGATGGTTGTTTTCACTATTGTGTTGGTATCTCAGATGGAAAGGGTGCGATGACAAGAAATGGATCTTTTTGGTGTGACGCAGAACTCCTTCAGCCTTTTTTAATGCTATAGCAGTTGCTTCTTGTCAGTTGGCTTGTTCTTGCTGCTGCCACCAGCAGTTGGTGTTACTTTGACAGTAAATAGGCAAAACAGAAGGAATTACTAAAAAATAATGCAAAGAATATAGGAATTATTAAAAAGTAATGAATGCAAAAATTACAGGAATTACTAAAAAATAATGCAAAGACTATAGAGCCCCTCTACCCAAACCTCTCAGTTTTGGCCAGGACGCTTAGTTGGTCTCCATGTAAATAGATCTGCAGTTTATAGTCCCATGGTTATGATGTAACTCACAAGAAAACTTGGGCGGCGATGGCGATGCCTGGTGGGTTGGGCGTCACAGGAACTGTTGTGCCTCTGGACCACAAACTTGCAGCACACCTGGACAGATTCACTGCACGTTGCACACTTGCAAGTCCTTCTTGGAGTTGCATCTTCACTCTAGGCACGATGTGTCCCCGTGTTCTACGTGTAGACTGGAGTTTGACAGACGCTTTTATCATCTTTTAATCACCGGGTTGCTTTCATGCCTGTAACAAATGGAGCTTGACAGCGATTCCTGTGCTCTTTAGGAACATACTTTGGGTTTGGGGTTGGGTTTTATTGTTGTTTTAAAGCCAGAAAGTTGGATCCTGAAAAGCTGAGGCATAAACTATTGCACTATAAACAAAATGTCTTACTGAAATGGAATTTGTGCTCTTGAGGTCTCATCCCCCTGTTTGACAGCTGTGCCATGCATTGTAGATGTGGTGGGTTGTTCTTAGGAAGGTTGGTGTTATCCCAGCAGTTCTTGAGTGTTTTTATGGAATCCGTGTGTATTGGACAGACAGAAGTGGAGAGAAACATAATACTCTGTTCACATTTCTTAAAAAAAAAATTAAATTATATATATAGCACCTAGTTTACAAACTAATAACTGTAGCTGCCCTGTACACTTGTTCACCTGGAGTCTTCAGTAAAACATGTCAGCAGTAGAGGAATTTGTACTGGGGGCATTCCCAATCATTCTCAATTTTTAACATTTTTCTGCTTGTGAAATGATAAAGTACTGTGAGCCTTAATTTTTATCCACAAATAAAAATATTATGTTTGAACACTGGTGTGACTGATTTTATTTATTTATTTATTTATTTATTTATTTATTTTTAGGACTTACATATAGAAAACCTCATTAGAAATGGCCTGTCCATTTTGGGTTGAAAAAACTATTTTGTGGCAGTTATGCTTTCCAGCTGCAACCCACCCTGTGCTGAGGAGATGTCTCTGTCGGGGCACGGCTGTCCCTTGCCGTGTCACAGCACAGGGACACCCCGCTGCAGAATAACAGAGCACTGCGTGTCACTTGCCTCATGCACACTTCGTACCGTGACACGCCATGGCATGTGTGACTTCTTCCTAAAAACACGTCTTGAGCCTTTTCTAGGGCTCTGGTCTCGCAGCCCTGTTAATGAACCTGCCCTGGTGATGCCACATGGCTCCTGCTGTCCCTCGGGGTGCTGGTGACCTCAGTGTCCTAATGGCAAACTCCCCCCAGCACCTCGTTGCGTTGGGTTGTGGTTGGTTTCGTGGCAGACCTCTGCTGCTTGCTTTGTTTAATTTATTTATTAATTGTTTTTAGCAGTAGGGTCACAGTTTCAAGACCACGTGCAAGTTTCCCATGGAAAGAGAAGGCGGGAGCTGAGGTCATCGTTACGAGCAAAACCTTCGCGTGGAGGTCATCACCATCATCCGCAGGAGAGAGCGTGAGTGGGCACTGGTCACTTTCTCTTGTCTAAAGATCCTTCCTTGCAGTGCACGAGCTACACTGTCATCAAAGTCAACCCACCCGGCAGCCGTCACCTCGGTGTCAGTGATTTGGGCTCGAGGGCTGTGGCAGTTCTGGCTCCATGGGCTGTGCCGGTGCTCGGGCTGCGCCGGAGGCACCGAGGGAGTGGAGTTGGATTGATCCACTGCTTATGATCTACTCACTGCTCCGTGGTGTAAATAAACCCTTATCCCCCAAGGAGTGCAACAGCCAGGTGTTCTCATCTAGATAAATACCAGGAAGATCTTCTTTGCTGTGAGGGTGGTGAGACAGTGTCCCAGGTTGCCCAGAGAAGCTGTGGCTGCTCCTCCCTGGAAGTGTTGAAGGCCAGGCTGGATGAGGTTTTGAGCAACCTGGTCTAGTGGAAGGTGTCCCTGCTGCTGGCAGGGGGGTTGGAAATGAAAATGAGGGAGTTGCAGAAATGAAGCCAGAGTGTTTTTCACAACACTGTAATTTTCCACAAAAGCTTTTTCAGAAACTTCGCAAAGTGGAAAGGAACTGGGATCACTGGTGGCTTTTTGTTGTCGATTTGGAAGCAGTTTGTTCACCTTCTCAGGACAGGCTGTTCCTGCAACCCCGCACGCTGCAGCCAGGTACCCTCTGGGTCGTGTTGGAGTTTCCCCTGCTGTCATTTCCTCAGTTAAAAATACTTCAATTAGATTTCTAGTGGCATTGTATCTGTTAGGCTACTGGAGGGCAACTATTTCTGGAGCTGCTGCTCTTGCCCTGTGCTGACTTTTTGAAAGGAATCCTGATTCCATCTCTCACTTCACCTTAGTCCAGAAAAGATCTTTTTTTATAGAACAAAAAGCTTTCATCTTAAAACATTTCTACTGTATTTTACAGTGAACACAGCTCCAAAGAAAAGCTTGTAACTCTGAATTTGAGGTTGGCTTGATGCGGTGCCGGCTGTAACTTGGCTGTGGAGCATCACCAGGGCAGGGACCAGGGCTCCCTGCTGCCAGCTGCGGTTCCCCAGCACTCGTCTCTGCCTGAGTTCCTTGCTGAACGAGAAGCAGATTGCAAAGAGACTGTTGTGTGGTGATGCAATAGCTGTTTGCGACTGACTTTAATGAGATTCAGGCCATTAACCCACTTGGCTGAGGCGTAGATGTGAAGGAAGCCGTACGCAGAGGAGTGCAGTGGGATTGTAAAGCACAGTGTCACAGCTAGACCGTGCCACCTCTCCACCTACAGATCAGATCAGGAGTCCCTCGGGACCTTTCCTTCTCCAACTGAATGTCCCACTGAATTTCATGTGTCTCATCAGAGAAGAGGTTGAGATAAAGTGCTCTGGTTGTCCTGAGGACAACAGCTTCCTCGGGAGCGCTGTACCGGGATGTGAATTGCATCTCACCCAGGAGAGAGGATTCTTTCTGTTTCTTCAGTGGCTTAAACATGAACTGCAGAAAACAAACCAGTGCTGTAACTTCATTATTTTGTTATAAAATTGAATAGTTTAAACATTTTAGCCTGGAGAAAAG